TCTTTGTTATCGAATAAAAAGTTTCCCCACAAAACTTGGTGTTTCCATTTTATGCGTCTATGTTTTAAATATCCCTTTCAATAACTTGCATCAATAAAACCAGACTTTACAATTATTTCGCAAACCATGGGAATTTTCGTCTGATATGATTAGACGAATAGCAAACAAACGTGGAATCAACTATTTACACACTAAAAACTACCTAGTCTCCAATATGACATTTCGTCGGGTTTTTTGACGTTTTTTTTTTGTTTTTTGTATAATAGTTGTGCCGTTGTCCATTGTTGGCAGCAAGCCCAAAATTCCAGATCTTTATTTTCAAAAATTCTGACAATATTACCCATCACTCTTAAATTCACTGAGAGGAAATATTTTCTTTCTCTGGCAATATGTTCACTAAAAAAACAAGGACTAATTCTTCAGTCTATTCAAAGGTTGCTTTGTCCTTAAATCGTTTTCGAAAAACGCCTTCGTTCGAAGGTACATGGCAAATAAAAATTTTGAAAACGTAACGTATCGCAACACTTGAATGTTATTATATTTGTGTTTTTGTCACGCGAATAGGGTAGTAAAAAAAGAGTACATAGTAAAAACTAAGCTTTAAAAAACCCAAAAGTTATTTTTTTTCCTTACGGAACCACCTGTATTTATAATTTACACTGTAAAACAATAATATAGCTTACTATAAGGTTGCCGCAAGATAGTGGTTTCTGAAATGTTTGGAAATTTTTCATTTGCAAAAATGCTCCGTAAGGGCAAGGATACAAATATGGTAAAATAGGGTGATTATTTATTGTCTAACGGCAATTTTTCACCTTATTTTGATCAGTTATTGGCAGTGGCTCTTCGTTGGTACCTCCACGGACTGCCTAGTCGAGCAAGGGGTATTCTCCATGTTCGTGCGAACCAGCTTTCATAAAAGGTGTCATATGTTATGGCGAACTATCTTATTCATATTCGTTTATGTAACCAAATATTAGAGAACATAAGAGGTACCATACAATGAAAACAAACTACGAAAATAGTACGAGTGTAAATATTTTACATAAAACAGCTTTTATAGCTATTCATATACCGAAACGTTCGCTAGAATGTTCCATCCGGACCTTTCCTGCTCAAGTGTGAGAGTGAGACCTTATTAAGGTAATGTATAGTCATGCTGTTTCTACTTGTTCCAGGGACTAGGGCAGTTTGCTGAAATGTAAGTGCATTTAGGGTTTTCTTATTGGTGTAGGGTTTTCAGCCGAACAGAGCGAGAGATGAGAGATTGATAAACCTACTGGCTGTATAAGGTTCAACTCCCTTATACAACCAGTTTGTTAGTGTGAATTGCGACATTTGGCGAAAGAGGTTGACTAGCCCCCTTTATCCTCGGTAGGCTGTCGATTATGTCTGGAATTTATCGGTTCATTGCACATAGCTCCGAGAAAATTTGGGTCCATGAGCGACAGGATAGAATTGGAAGGGGCGTCTTCAATGTTCCTTCGGTTTCTACACTACCTTAGGATAGCTGGACACAACAAGCGATGAGAGGGCGGAGGGCTTTTTTGGTCTGTGGAACCATTGTCTTTTTCGGGTTGGAAGAAGACTTTGGGGAGCCGGATCTTGACTTGTAAGATCGATCGACTTCATCGATCTATCTCGCTTGTCGCTACTGACAATTTTGCCCAATGCGAAGAGCGAGCATGGTTGACAAATGTGGCGGACGACTCCTCATACTGCCCTCCTCAGACAGGGTGCCCACTTAGATAGTTAGGGATCACTAGGAAAAGCGTCAGTTCAGTTGAGAAGTTAGGAAAAATATAACGGTTGCAAATTTTAAAAGTAGAGAGAATCGGAATTGTCATGTACGACATAAGCTTCACAAAAAGGTTTGCATCATAGACTCCAATCAAGTGGTCGGGAAGTAGCGAGTAGCTAGGGAAATGTTAGGGAATTTTTTGGGCACTCTGAGATGTGGGGCACGTCAAGAGAAAGAGACAACTCTTCACCTTGCCTTGCTGCGAAAAAGCAGGGGCACATCCAGAGATTCAGACACATACTATAGTATGCTCTTGCGCAGAGCATGCAGGAGCACAGGGACAACAGGAGTTTGCTGAAATGTAAGTGCATTTAGGGTTTTCTATTGGTGTAGGGTTTTCAGCCGAACAGAGCGAGAGATGAGAGATTAATAAACCTACTGGCTGTATAAGGTTCAACTCCCTTATACAACCAGTTTGTTAGTGTGAATTGAGACATTTGGCGAAAGAGGTTGACTAGCCCCTTTATCCTCGGTAGGCTGTCGATTATGTCTTGAATTTATCGGGGCATTGCACACAGCTCCGAGAAAATTTGGGTCCATGAGCGACAGGATAGAATTGGAAGGGGCGTCTTCAATGTTCCTTCGGTTTCTACACTACCTTAGGATAGCTGGACACAACAAGCGATGAGAGGGCGGAGGGCTTTTTTGGTCTGTGGAACCATTGTCTTTTTCGGGGTTGGAAGAAGACTTTGGGGAGCCGGATCTTGACTTGTAAGATCGATCGACTTCATCGATCTATCTCGCTTGTCGCTACTGACTAATTTTGCCCAATGCGAAGAGCGAGCATGGTTGACAAATGTGGCGGACGACTCCTCATACTGCCCTCCTCAGACAGGGTGCCCCACTTAGATAGTTAGGGATCACTAGGAAAAGCGTCAGTTCAGTTGAGAAGTTAGGAAAAATATAAACGGTTGCAAATTTTAAAAGTAGAGAGAATCGGAATTGTCATGTACGACATAAGCTTCAACAAAAAGGTTTGCATCATAGAACTCCAATCAAGTGGTCGGGAGTAGTAGCGAATAGCTAGGGAAATGTTAGGGAATTTTTTGGGCACTCTGAGATGTGGGGGCACGTCAAGAGAAAGATACAACTCTTCACCTTGCCTTGCTGCGAAAAAGCAGGGGCACATCGAGAGATTCAGACACATAGTATGCTCTTGCGCGGACCCTCAGGGACGTAAAGGAGCTTGGACTCAAGGCGATTCTCAACTTCGCTAAAAGGGCGAGGCTTGTGATTTAAGTATTGTAGAGGTGCATAAGGGCCCGCTTAAGCGGCCTATGCACTGGCTCCTTATGGTGGCCGGGATGCCTCTAAAATTCAAGATTCATTCATTCATTCATGCTCTTGCGCAGAGCATGCAGGATCACAGGGACAACAGGAGTTTTGCTGAAAGGTAAGTGCATTAGGGTTTTCTTATTGATGTAGGGTTTTCAGCCGAACAGAGCGAGAGATGAGGGATTGATAAACCTACTGGCTGTATAAGGTTCAACTCCCTTATACAACCAGTTTGTTATTGTGAATTGAGACATTTGGCGAAAGAGGTTGACTAGCCCCTTTATCCTCGGTATGCTGTCGATTATGTCTTGAATTTATCGGGCATTGCACATAGCTTCGAAAAATGTAGGTCCATGATCGACAGGATAGAATTGGAAGGGGCAATCTTCAATGTTCCCTTCGGTTTTACACTACCTTAGGATAGCTGGACACAACAAGCGATGAAAGGGCGGAGGGCTTTTTTGGTCTGTGGAACCATTGTCTTTTTCGGGGTGGAAGAAGACTTTGGGAGCCGGATCTTGACTTGTAAGATCGATCGACTTCATCGATCTATCTCGCTTGTCGCTACTGACTAATTTGGCCTAATGCGAATAGCGAGCATGGTTGACGAATGCGTCGGACGACTCTTCATGCTGCCCCGCCCCCCCCCCCCCCCATCATGCCGTTGCAGAGGCGGGAAAGTTAAGGAAGGAATTCCCCTGGGTCCATGGCCGAGCTGTTAAACAGGGATCCAGAATTTAAAAGGATACTGCTAAGTATCAATATAGTGTATTTCATAGGTCTGTTGTCTATGATTATTTATGCTTTGAAATCGTTAGCGCAAGGGTTTTTCTTAGTTTTTTGAACTTTTAGGTGAGAGTGAGGACATTCCGTATTTCAGGAATGGTGATGAACTATGCTAAATATTAATGATAACGATATATTATAATTTTAAATTACATTTGGTATTTACCATTCTATTAGGTACAAATTTTACGAATATCTACTTTTAGCTAAGAAGTGATTGGACATATTTATACATATTTTACAGAATTGTTGTCCGAAAACGTTCAGGCTTCCTTCCAGAATCGTAGCCCAAATATATTCATCAAGCTTTGGAGGGAGGACACTCCCCATTTCAGAAATGGCACAGGTTATAGACACTCCCGAGCGTTATAAAAAAGCTGTTGCAAATAATGTTCTGCCTTGATAGCTGGATGAATGTTGGTGGATAAAGATAGAGATTGAATAGGAACTATAGAAAATCGTTTAAAGTCCCGATTTGTAGTATGCTACAATACATGAAAACAGCAATCAACGAATATCTAGCATTTTTACAGGGTAAGCATTGGAGAGGAGGTTGGTTTTAAACTTGACGAACCACTAGACAGGTTGAAGATCTTGGAATCGTTCCCAAGAGATATATCTTCAAACTTACCTTAAGAAGATTAAAAATTTTCACTCAAACTATACTCGTATTTATGCTACTATCCATGAAATAAAGAATCAACCTACTTGATGTTTCAAAATAAGCAGGGGTATTATTTAAATGGGAGTACTTATGTGACCTTTCTTTGTAGATAAACCTGTGGATAATAGTAGTATGGTCTAATATCCATATATTTATGAAGCTTTGCGAAATATTTACAGCCAGGTTACAAGCAAAAGCTTCTAAAAATGTACACGATTTCATTCAGGGACATATTTGGAAAGCTAACATTCCAAAAATTATACTTCCTCACCCTCTTGAATATGATCACAGGCTGGTACATGCAGAATGAACATTAATTGAAATGATAATCGAAATAATAAAGAGGCATTTTCGTGTGGTTAATCATTTCCGAAGAGATGACTTGCAAAACACGTGGCTGACGTAAAATCGTCCAATGTTTTTCAGAGATGAGATATGTGAAAAGTTCAGGTTTCATAAGTGTGTCCGTAGATGCTAAGTAACCAGGTAAGAAGGTAGTAGTAGTAGTGGTAGTAGTAGTAGTAGTAGTAGTAGTAGTAGTAGTAGTAGTAGTAGTAGTAGGGTGTGAAGCTCAGCTCGCGTCCGTGGCCGCCACACTAGTGGCGCACCGAAGCAAGCCACACGTGCACCCCGGCTAGGTGCTAAACGAGCTGGGACCCCTGGGTTCTTGGATGACCAAGATCGGGTAACCAACCCCGGTGGCGAGAACCCACACCCAGGGCCAAGGGGTAGACCGGACTCCCAAAGCCGCGGTGAAGGCAGCCGGTCTAGGGATACTGACCCGAAGAATTCATAAGACGACCTGGCCGTGGACCACGAAACGTTTTTTGGAATAATGGACGGACGACACACTAGAACGGATATGACGACAGGGCGATGACATGGACTCTCTATCACTTGATGAGACATGGCTGCGAAACGGAAGCTCTGAGGGAGTAAACCCTGGAAAAAAATCCTCCCAAGTCCAAGGTGTAACACCATCGTGCCGAGGGGCTGCATGGCACAGGGAGAGAAGTGTGTTCTAAGCGATGCCTGGTGGACTAGGCGACCCGCCAGGGAAAATAGCCTTACTGCCACATGCGGGGCTCTGTGGTAGCGGACAGATTTCTTCCCTAGCTACTCGTGGGAACAAGATGGATAAACTTCAAAAAACACAATATGAAAGACAGGATCGAGAGGAGGTTGACCCTTTCAAAAGAAGAGACAAAATGAAAGGTCACCGCCTGGCAGGAACAGATCATCTTCGTGGTCTGATATACATAGCCAACAGAGAGGCACAGAAGAGAGCAACCAAGGGACGTCAAATGCAACTGAAGAAGTACTCAGGCGTAGAGCACCTTCCCAATCAGGAAAACGACGTAGAAGCGAAGAAGACAATGGTGAGGAAATGAAAAAACTTATAGAGAAGGTGACGAAAACCGCCTCTACGTTAAGAGAGCTCATAAAGACTACTCCAAACACGCAGGGAGATATCAAGAAGGAGATTATGAGGCTGAACCAGATAATGGAGTCACTAAATCTAAAGATTGACCAAGAAAGTACCGAGAGAGACCGGAAGGCACCGAGAAAGGAAGAGAGCCCAAAAAGCACAACAAGCGTTGGGGTGCAAGTAAATTTCGCGGATGTAAAGGCGGAAATGGAAGAACGAGAGTCTAAAGAGAGCAAAGAAATAATAGACATCTTAGATAAGAGCCAAAACTTTGAACAATTTGCGAAATTGCTAGACAGGAAATGGCCAGAACGAGCTTACAGGGCCGTCAAACATATTCATGGAGCTCCACCAGACATACCCGTAGAAGATGTCACAGCAATAATCGCGGACGCCAAACCGGCGAATATGAAAGGACTACTAAAGGAAATAAGCGGAAGGCACCCGGAAATAAGCGAGATCATGAAAGGCGGTGTAACAGAAGGCCAGTTAGAGTACTTCGAGAAGACCACAAAGATAAACTTCAGGAACAAAGACGAAGAGAAAAGCCAACTTGTTTACATCCTACCTATCGATATAGACAAAAATGGAGTAAACAACATGAAGGAGGTACATAAACTCGTAGAAGATAGCAAGAGAACGGTGCAGACTCATGGTCGGAAAAGATCACCTTTATACCGGATGATGGGATAAACAAATCATACGTGAGGAAGATCCTAGAGTACGTGTTTAACAAAGCGGACATCGAGGTAAAGCTGATGACAGCCAGAGGAAAAGACCGAGAGCACAGCAGACCCTGGCCAAGTAAAACACAAGCCCAATCTCAAGCGGTGATCGTTAAGAAAGGGGGCCGGCAGTACGCCGATCTCCTAAAGACAGTGAAGCAGAATATCGATTTAGGGAAAATCGGTGTCAAAGTCAGGAACATAAGAGAGACCGCAAGAGGAGACCTACTGCTGAACGTGGAAGGGGGTGGTGGAGAAGGCAGACTCCCTTAAAAAAGAAATTGCCGCCCAGCTCAAGGATGTAGGTGTATCGCTAGCCAATAACGATTGCCACTGTACACATCAGCGATATAGACCCTACAGTCACCGAGGAGGAGATCGAGGAAGCAATTTACGAGGCAACCCAAGTAGACAGAGCAGCACCAGTGAAGGTGTTGAATATGAGGCCCACCAGAGATGGAAATAGAATTGCAACTGTCAGGTTATCAAAGCATCTGGCGAAAGTCCTAAGCAACCAGAGGCAAGCTGATGATAGGCTGGGTGGCATGCAGAGTCCGTGAGAGAATAGCTGTAACCAGATGTTACAGATGCTTGGAATTCGGACACACACAAAATGGATGCACAGGCAGGGATAGATCGGGAGAATGTCTGAGCTGCGGAAAAATGGCCATAAAGCGAAAGACTGCCAAACGGACCCTTTTTGTTCTTCCTGTCAAGAAGCCGGTCACCGCTCCGACTCAACCAGATGTCCTAAGTATAGGAGGATGGTGGAGGATAAAGCAAAGAGGAGAGGCAGCTTCCGCAAGTAAAGTAAAGTAAAGAAAAAAAAATGCCACGGACTGTCGAAGGTAATGCTACAAACAGGTTTAAACGAAATCCACGGAAAAGCCTGAGAATACTGCAAACGAACTTAGGCAGAGAAACAGCAGCCCACAATATAGCCTTTGCCACGGTAGCCGAGTATAACATAGACCTACTGATAGTGGGGGAACCCAATAAGACCATCATAAAGCTCAAAAATGGATCAGCGACAAAAGAGGGGACGTAGCAGTGTACTTTAGAAATAGGGAAGTCACGGTTAAAGATATAAAGTACTACGACGGTTTTTTGGGCCTACACCTCGAGTTTTGCACCTTATACTGTTGCTACATATCTCCAAACATTCCGATAAATGAGTTTCAGGATCTGGTTGACAAGATAATATCTGAAATTGTCACATCAAGAAGGGAATGCGTGCTCTTGGGAGACATAAACGCAAAGAGCGTCGAGTGGGGGTCCCCATTCACAGATAGTAGAGGAACGTACTTTTCTGAATGCCTTGCTGCTGCAAACATGTTGTGCATAACACCGGAGATAACCCCACTTTTGTTAGAGGTAGCACAGAATCCTATATAGATGTCACATGTTCGACACAGAAGATCGCAGCAAACATGAAGAAATGGAGCGTCCTCGATGAGGATAGCATGACGGACCACAAGTATATATACTTTGAGGTAGATAAGCAGCTAAGCAGTAAAAGAGCTCAATCCTGGGGCTCGACCAAGACTTGTAACTGGGAAGTCTTTAGACAGGTACTCTCGTCCAAGCTAGTAGAATACCCAGAAAGCCGCATACAGAGGAAAACTTTACTGCCACCATTAAAGAAGCTTACCATGCTAGCCTCACAAACCAATAGCAATCATAGCGGAATGCCTACTGGTGGAGCAACGATATCTCTCAACAGAGACAGAAGTGTCACAAGGCACGTAGAACCATCATGAGGCTCGTCAAACACAGCACAGACATCCGAAGCGATCATCGAAGAAGCTAGCTCCTTGTATAAAAGCCACAAAAAAATGCTTCAGCAAATGATCAAGAGTCCAAGAAAAAACACTGGAACGAACTTTGTGACAGCATTAACGAGGACGTATGGGGAGACGGATACGGATTGTCATGAAAAAATTCCGATGTTTCGCGCCTATAGCATGACAAAAGAACGAAAGAAGGAGATAGCGAAGAACTGTTCCCACCACACGCAGTTAGGAGCTACAGCACAGAAACGGTCAACAACGTAGACATGTTCACGGAAGAGGAATTCGAACAAGCCATAGAAAAACTCAAAATGGGTAGAGCCCCGGTCTTGATGGTATACCCCCAGAAGCAATTAAAGAGGCTTCGAAACTGTCACCAACCTGGGTATTGGGTTTTTTAAACAACCTTCTCACCACACAGAGCTTTCCGGAATCTTGGAAACGGGCCAAACTCTTACTGATACCGAAAGGAAAAGACAAATACAGACCCATTTGCTTGCTCTTGACAATTAGCAAGCTATATGAGTTATTGATACTTGCTAGGCTACAGAAGGAAATCGATTACAAGGGTGGCCTATCAGAGTTCCAGTATGGTTTCAGAAAAGGTAGAAATACGTTGATGGCAGTGGACGCAGTCCTTAAAACCATTAAGGGCAGCAGGGAAACATGGGGCGTTCTCATCACAGTCGACGTCAAAAACGCTTTCAACTCGCTACCGTGGCAAAACATAATGGAGGAGCTGAAACAAGGAAAATACCACCATACCTCCGAAATCTCGTAGGTGCCTACCTCAGTGGAAGGTCACTCCAGATAGCCAAAGAAGAGACCTTAGACATAACATCCGGGGTACCGCAGGGCTCAGTCTTGGGCCCTACTCTATGGAATTTGGTTTACGATGGGGTACTGAGGAGTAAATGGCCACATGGTGTAAAAGCCGCTGCGTTCGCGGACGACTTGGCAGTGATAGTGCTAGCGCAGGATGAGGAGGCCCTTATGCATGCGGCAAATTTAGCCCTGAGGATAGTGGACAACTGGATGACGGCCCATCACCTCGAACTCGCACCGGAGAAGACAGAAGCTGTCATCATAAAGGGGAAGCGGAGAAAAGCAGGTATTACTTTTAACTGCAGAGGAACTTCCGTAACACCAAAGAAGTCTGTTAAGTACCTAGGAATTCACTTAGAAGAAGGAGGCCACTTTCGGGAGCATATTCGGGCAACGGCAGCAAAAGCAGACAAAAAAGCAGCATCGTTAGCAAGAATTATGCCAAACATCGGCGGACCTACCAGCAACAAGAGGGAGGTTATAAATAGCGTGGTGCTTTCAACATTACTTTACGGCGCCCCAATCTGGCACGACATTATGAGCACTACTAGATACAGGCAAATGTTCAACGGAGTGCAAAGGAAGATGCTGCTGAGGGTGGCGAGTGCTTACAAGACGGTCTCCACGAAGGCCTTACAGATTATTACAGGGATAGCACCGATCCACTTGCTTGTGGAAGAAAGAGTGAGACTGCACCGCCGGGAAGATGGGAGAACCGCGAGGGCCAGAAGGGAGGAGCGCGAGGTCACCATCAGTAAATGGCAGGACGAGTGGCACTTAACGGAGGACGTGGCTCAGTGGACAAAAAAAATAATACCTGACATCGGGAAGTGGATTGCTTGCAAGCACAGGCGACTGGACTACCACCTAACGCAGGCACTAACGCAGCATGGTACTTTTCGAGTATTCACGAAGAGAATACAGAAATCAGACAGCGATGAATGCATGTACTGTCAAGAAAAAGACACAGTTGCACACACTCTCTTCGAGTGCAACAGATGGGAGCGACAAAGGGCACAAGTCGTTGTTAGTCTAGGACACGCTCTGACGGAGAGTAATCTGACCAGCACCATGATGGCGAACAAACAATCGTGGATACAAATACAAAGATTCGTCAGGGAAATACTATCAATTAAAGAC